ATTTCTTTATGGAAACGCACTGCAGGTTTTAACTTACTTCAGAAGAACCACTAGTAAGTACGAGGTGCAATATGTTTTTACAGATCAATAGACTACCATCGATAGATAAAATGGTTTCAAGTCATCAAAGGAGAGAGATGAAAATTTCCAGCACTCCAAATTTCATGATACTGTGTATAGGACGGTGACTCATTACATGATCAAAGTTACTAGAAGTTATGCGCAAAACTCCCGTTGAATTTGTTGCAAACGAAAATCTAGCCAATTCAACGAACTTAATACATAAATTTCAAATTTCTTTTTCCTTCAGGAGGAAATTTATAGAATCTACTTATCTGTGCCATTCATCTTTAAGGGGACTCATACATGTTAAAACCCATATCATCTTCGAATATGCGACTGTTGCAAGAATTGGGATTACTTATTTATTTTAAAAGCAATTACTTCCAACTTTTTACAGCTAATTACATAACATAGTTGCTTTCTGAAATTGTGATCAGAAAGTTTGTGTTGCCACAAATATTTTTATAATTTAATTCTCCTTGTAACAAAACGTTTTGTCATGTTTCCACCTTGCGCGCACAGTTTAAGACATTCTGTTGCATAATTTAATTCCATATTTAATATACAGCTATTATAACATTTGGAAACTACTGTGAACCAAAAATTCTAAGAATTTCATGTTAAATTTTTATTTTATTTGGAGTTGAGTTTATAAAAGGTATTTTATTAAAAAAATCTCTAATGTTTTCGTGCATAAAACTTTTTAATATTAAAATATTCTTCAGATTTTTGATTCAGTTAGAAAAGAGTGCCCATATAATGAATTCCATCAAATTTCAAGTATGTACTATTAGCCATTTTAAAAATATCGTGCGCGCAAGGTGGAAACACGACGAAAAATTTTGTCACAAAGCGGATTAAATTACAAAACTATTTGTGGCAATACAAACTTTCTGGTTACTAATTTCCAAAGCAGCTATATTATGTAGTCAGCTGTAAAAAGTTGGAAGTAATTGCTTTTAAAATAAACAAAATATCCCAATTCTTGCAACAGTCACATATTCAAAGATCATAACAGATTTAAGGTGCATGAGCCCCCTTAAGATGAAAATTTAATTAGCAGTGTTATGAGACAATTGCTAACAAGTACCTTGTTTTTTCCTATGCTTTTGCTTCCCTTCTCAAAACTAAGTCATATACTGATGTGAGGCGCAAATAATATCTAGTACGATAAAAGGCTAGGAATGTGGATCATCAAATTAGTTTATTTCTTTCAATATGTAATACTCAGCTTGTAGAGTCATTAGATTATTCTGATGCTCTCGCTGTCGAATACGCACCGAGTGTGCTACCGTTACACCTCGAAAGCATGCAGATAGAAGCGAGAAAACAGCATGAGTTTCCAACATTTTTGTCCCTAAGAAGAACATTATGGATAGCTGTTGCACGGAGGGCACCATCTCTTTTTCAAGGTGAATTTATATTTGGATAGAGTTAATTAAATATGCATATAAAAAACGAGATCGGTAGCATTTCACTTTGTGCTGGCATCCGTGCTGGATGCAATTTCTATTTCATTAAAAATAGGAAAACCTTCACGTAGAATTCTATTGATAACTAAAATATTTTTAATGCGATCGCACAGCGGCGGGCACACGTTAAACGATCGGCGGGTGCCATGGTGGTCGCGGGCATAGGTTTGGGAAACCCTGCCTTATATATTCCCCTTTTAAAAGGCAACTGGGGATGATGGGACCCAATCGCCAAATACTGGTGGAGAAGAATCATCATCCACCACCTTTCAGTTCGTGCGCCACTGTAGAGTCATTTTGTTATTTTGAAGCAGGAGACATGTAAAATGAGCAATACCCTCGCCAGGATTCGAACATGGACCTCTCGAATACGGGCCGAGTGTGCTACCCTTACACCACGAAAGTATGCAGAAAGGAGGGAGAAAATACCTTTTAAGTTCACAAAGATTCCGCTCGACAAAAACTGTAATCACCAAAAACAAAATCCCTTCATTGCTGAAAACCAATCCCTGCTCTCGAAGGAATACAGAGATTTTCCAGTTCATTTATTCGGCTTCCGTAATCGCCATTTACTTTATTTTCCGATAATCTAAGCATAATTTTTCGACTGTCATCACCCAAAGCTAAATTTGCACACGATGTTTCAATTTAGAATAAACTTTTTTTGCTTATGAATATTCATTTCTATAAAAAAATACTTTTAACCCAACAGTACAATATTTTTTCACACTAATCAAGATGTTTTCAATTTTTATTGCTCTAACTCTCTCTTCCCACTCATCTGAATTCCAATGCCCTAATTTTCACCTCTTTTTTTTAAAGTTTTGCGTTCCAGTTAGTATCTAAAGGTGAAGACTGAAAATTTTTTAGCTATTAAGGAACATATAAATTTAGCATTTATTATATTTAATAAATGCGTGTCAATTATCTCTTTCCTAGTTATGTAAATGATTGTTGTAAATGTAACTAAGAAAACGTTTTTATTAATTTCACTGGCTATACTTAACTTTGATCAGCTTTTTGGGGTCACATTGCCTTTAAAGTCGCCTTAGCTGTATTAGCCAAGAGCTTTCACAATTGCATTTTGAGTCTAAATCATGAATCAAATAATACCCCGTGATTTGATAATACCCTTGCAGAACCGGTAGATTAATATAAAAAAAAATTCGTTTCTTATAATTAATTCACTCAAATCACTGAGTGACATAATTGATGAAAGACTAATGTTTTACACTATTTGATAGAGTAAAATACTAGTCTTTCATCGATTATGTCACTCATCGATTTTGTCTTATTTGATAGCTTCTTCAGTAACAAACTGTCATTCGACATACTGCCAAGATAAAGCATTTCAAAACAAAGAGCCACAGCGTCTGTACATGCTAACTGTTTAACACATGGTCGTTACAAGCATTTAAAATTACAATTTTATAAAATTTTGCTTAGCTCACTCATAATATCATTATGTTTGTTGGTATGATTGCAAGGTTTTCATTGATTTTTTTAGACTACTTCCTGATAAGCTATCGATCTCAAATTTTACACATTTATTGTTTGTGAATGAAATATACTTGTACGATGTGGTAAAGAAACTTTGAATTTTTTTGATTCGATCTCCATTTTTTTAAAATTTAATGTTGAAACGATTTTTTGCACATATCTTCGTTTAGCGAATAAACTAAAAACATCTCTGAATTGCAACTTTTTCACCACTGGATAGAGCGGGAAAGAATCTTTTTACTGAAATTTGAATGAAGTCTTTTCATATTGTTACGAAATGTACAGGCGCGGTATGATAGCTTCCCCGCAAAGCAGTTTTTATGGTTGCCATAAAATGGTAAGGAAAAGGCAAGGCTCGATTGCCACATTTGGCGATAAATCGCCCACTTGGCGACAGAATTTGGCGATATGCAATGGACTGATGGAGAACCTTCTGGAACGAATTCTTACCGGTTTAGCCCAGAATGTTCTCGAACACAAGCCGAAAGCTATATAAACCCTGCTGGTCCGCAGTAAGTTAGCATCGAGTGTGTGTCCCTCTATTGACTAAATAAAGCGTGATACGATACTTCATCAAGTGTCGTCGTTATTTACTCCAAATCCACACAAACCCCGTACGAACGTGAAGGAAGAAAATAAGGTAACAACTGATGTCAGAAAAGAAAAGCGCAACAATACAATTCATTGCATCCGACGTACACACAAATCGAATGAAAACTATCCAACTACAGTTCCGTTCAGCATTCAAAGATGTACACTGCGCGAAATAAAAACTTAGGATATATATTAGATAGGACTTTTTCTGAAATAACATATCAATTTTTTTCCATATTTCGATTCTACGACTCAAATTATGCCTATATATTAAATTTTGTAATTTTTGGTGAGAAATTTAAAAATTATCTTGGCAAATTTTTTTCAGTTGGCGCCAGAATAATTCACTTGGTGAGAATTCTTAATTTATAGTAGCCTATTTTCCTTTCCTTCTTCATTGACCACGAACGTAAAGAAAGGTTCATAGGTTTTGACATATGTTTATTAATATCTCTTTTTTTAAATTTAACTTACTTGATTCCTTCTTCCAGAATTCGAAATTTAGTTTCATTCCAAATAAAATTCGCTCATTTTTCATGATTTATTTTTAAAATTTGTATTTTTAAATAATTTTTTATAAATTTTTCGAAAAATATTTTGAATGATAATCTATACAGTTTTTACCATCATCTCAAAGTAGATGTATTTCTAAGCATACCTGCAAAAAAATCAGAGTTTTTTATTCAAAATTTTCTAGGATGTACGTAAATTTACATATTAGCACGTTCTGAAATTCGGCATATTTGTTATAAGCGATAATAACGCCAAATTTGTTACATTTGCACTTTGTTAACATTATTTGATATAATGAACGATAACTTTTTTTCCGTTCGTTTACAATGAAAAAAAGGTAAAGAAAATAAGTTGCTATAAATTAATTCGCACCAAATCCATTTTAAGATCCGTTTCGGGGGGGGGGAGGATTCTTTATTATGGCTGTATATACAGATGTAACGCAAAAACATCGTTTAAAAGGAGACGAGAGCGGTCGTAATGGATATTTTCGTTGAAATACGATGACCGAAATTTTTCGAGATTACAACACTTCCTTTACTTCGTAGAAGGAAGTTTAAAAAAAAAAAAAAAAAAAAAAAAAAAATTGATACTATTTTTAGCTATTACCCAGATCGATGGCTTTTTGCAACGATTTAAGTTTCAGCACTAAAAAATTCAATACGTTAATTATACAGATATACAAGCTAGGTCTGAAACTAACCAGCGAACGAAATAACTTCTCTAACGTTTCAGCTTATTGAAAATTCTAGTCCCTGCTGATCAATGGACTCATTTTTCACTCTTAACACTGAAGATGAAGATAATAAGCTCTTCACATTTTCTACATACACAATTTAAAAAAAAATAAATACTTACCTTTAATTTAATTTTTCCAAATTTACAGCGTTGAAATGAAGAAAATAAATGAGAAAATCCTTATTAAATTAATAAGTATCCTTATTAAATCACTTCAAACAAAGGCACTATTTTTTTTCCACGAAATTATCCAATTCACAAGTAATCCATAGCACACACGATGTATCAATCACAAATATAATCCTGCAAGATAAAACATACGATAAGACCTTAATGTAAAACAAGTAACATAAAAATATTATATTATTACAAAATAAAATACAAAGACAATAACTGCACGCATTGGAAACTGTTTACATTATATTTTAGACTCTCAAGTCCCTTAAAATTTGAAATTAAAGCGAAAAAATAGCTTTTCTTAAACGAAAATAATATATTATCTAACGCTGCGAAAAAAAATCTAGAACCATTTGGTTTCAATAGTTAGAAATGGAAGCCTTTCCATTTGAAGGAAAACGTACTCCCCATTTCTAAAAATAAATACGATAAATAAAACCAAAAGGAAGGAGTAAGAAAAGGGGAAAAAAATTCTAAGAAACAATTCTTAACTCTCTCTCCTTAAAAAGAAAATAAATAAATAAAATATATATATATATATATGTATATATAAAACACAATAACTTGAAAGATTTTCAATAAAATATTTAAGCAGGTTTTAAAGTTCTACAAGTTTAATATATTTAACCTAAAATTCGTTAAAAAATTCGTTTTAACAATGCATTCACTACTTGAAAATGACCTATATGTTCATATGTTTTTGTCATTATCGAGCACATAAAAATTATATTTGATATACACGTTTGCAACGCTTGGACGGTTAGATTTTATACCTTTTTTAAAAAAGAGTTTAGTGCTGTTTAAGACTCTTTTCGTTTCCCGTTTCTTTTTTTTAGCCCAAAGGGGAAATTTGATCAGAAGGGCTATTAATTTCGTTTTGGGATTTTGCGTTGGTTCACTATGAACGACGTTTCACTTTTCAAATTTTTGCCACCAAATATCACAGCCCTGATCATATTTAAAGAAATTAAATCTGCACGAATGTATGCATGCTTCTCCACTGTGAAAAAAGGACGGTACCTAGAGACATCAAATTTTGAATAACGTAATTCTTCACCCGAACATGCGCATCTGGGCGCACGAATTTTAAATTGCGAATTTGTTTTATTATCTATTTCACATTATGTAAAACTTTGAACGAATTTTAAATTCACAAAGTCCACGATTTCAAAGCGAACAGGGGCAACAATATACGGGGGGGGATTATCTCCAGCGCTCGAGACCCTGCATCGGAAATTTTAAAGATATGCTGTTTTTAAATATGTTGTGATATTGCTGTTCAATTGAATTTTATGTGGTTTAAGTGCGAAGAATATGATACTTAATAAATAAAGGTAACACTCAAAACATTAAAAAAACGCCCCTTTGGATATCATATAAAATCTGAAAGCTTTCAGATTTTTTTTTTTTTTTTTTTTTTACACTTTATATTTTTTAAAGGCGATTACTCTTGCATTCGCTTAAGTGAATAATAATTATTATTATTCCTTATATCGTTCTTATTATTGCGGCAAGTCACACAATGATGACGGTAATAATAACAGCAGTAACATTCGGACAACATTTTTCAAAAATCTAAACTTCTAAGGGTTTCAGCCCCATGGCAGTCAGATAATTTCGCATGTTTTTATGTTTCCTACTTTTCCTACTTTTATTAATTCCTATTAAAAGGCGTTTCAATTTTAAAAGCCTACCTCCACTTAATACGACCTATTGCAATAATAATGACGCTATATTAAAAATAATTACATACTTTATCAATTAGTTCATTTGGCAATTTGCCCAGAAGGGGTATTAGTTTTGACTATATATGTCGGTTCACTTTTCAAGTTGTTGCCACCAAATATTTGAGCCTGGTATTATATTTAAAGTGTGTGCGTGTGTGTGTGATTATGGCAAAGCCTCCAGGGCTATCTTCCTAAGGGGAGGGATGCCTTCGTGGAGGACTTTCTAAGGGAAACTGGGCTCGTATACACATTACACATGGGGAAAACCACGAAAACACCCATGCAGCCAGCCCGTTCGCGGGATTCGAACCTCGGATCGAAGTACCAGTGTTCAGCGACGTTACCGCTCAGCCGCTGGTGGGCCATTTCATAGCTTTTAAAACGTTAACGAATTTTCGATTAACAAACTCAAAGATTTCAAAGCGAGCAATGACAACACTGTTAGCGCGCGAGACTCTGTATCGGAAAATTCTAAAGATATGCTCATTTTAAAATTATTTTGGGATATTGCTCTTGAAATGAATTTTATGGTTTAAGTGCAAAGAACACGATAGTTAATTTAAAAAAAAGGTAACACACAAAACGTTAAAAATAAAATCTGAAGTCTTTCACATTCTCATATATATATATATCTATTGCATGCGTTGAGTTAATACTTAATATAAAGCATAAGCAGTCGAAGTAAGGAAACCTCTTATTTTATGTTATAGTCTTACCTACATAAAATAGTTATTATAGACAAATAGTCCCCTTATATGTTCTGCACTTAATGTAAAGGATCAGCTTATTTTGCAAACTTGACGTACTTTTTAATTTCAACTCTTTCACGGACCGTCAATTCGACGAAGGCCTAAAAAGACGTGTCCTCTTATTCGACTCTACTGACCGTTCGATCTTCCGCAATTTCGGGAAATATCGATCCAGAAGTGCACTTTTGACTCGGAGCTGAAGTTTATTCGCGGCGAAGCACGGAGTACGGCGAACTTCGCAGTTCAGTTCGATGCCAAGAATGAATATAATACTTCGCGCACAGCAAAACTAAAATATTTACTTTAAGAAACAACTATGAAGTGCGGAGAGTGAAACGAAACACATTAAACAAACATAAAAATTTGACATCACTACTATCAACGTCAGAAAAAGGAAAATGATTCACAACGGCACACAAACATTGCAACCTTCACCAGCTTCGACTCGCTTACGTAAGTATTTAAATACACAGAGTAGCTCAGGCCTCCCTTTACTTAAGCTTCCAAGGGTTTCGTTGTTAGTCGCAATATTAGTTCTAATATTCCTTTAACAAAACATATAAAGATTAAAAAATTTAGCCATAAATGCAGCATACATATCCTCCTCTACTTACAGAAACAGTTCAGATTCCTGGGATTAAAGTTGCTATCGGATCAAACTAATTCCCGCAACACCTCACAGGATCTTTGCTTTCAAAAATTTTCTATAACATTTTTAAATATTTTATTTACATATGTACTTATTTTACACATACAAAACTTTTCAAAACGTATAACCATTATACTTCGTAGTCTTACAATATGCAAACTTTCTTGTGGTAAATGTTTCAAAGGACTTGTGGTAAACTGGTTTAAAAGACTTGTGGTAAATTGGTACGCTTCGTCACTTGAAGATACTACCTGGTACTCATTTAGAGTTACTTTTTTTCATGATTTTTCGATGACTTTTTTTCAGTCGGTGATCAGTTGTTGCGACGACTGTTGCTTTACTAGACGCTTGTATATGCCTCGATAGCCAGATATACAAGACTGAAGTTTTTTTTTAATTGATTATTTATGTTATTTTATTTTTTTGATAACTTTATGTTCCGATTTCATTGAAATTTTCATATACCACATTAAAAAAAAAAAAAAAATTCAGATTTTAAATTACGTACGTCCAAAGGCGCTTTTTTTTCACATTTTGTGTGTTACCTTTATTTATTAAATATCATGTTCTTCACACTTAAACCATAAAATTCAGTTCAACAGCTATATCGCAAAATATTTTTAAATTCACCCTTTTTTTAGAATTTCCGATACAAAGTCTCAAGCTGGAGATAAAAATGTTTCTGTACAAAGGTTCCATGGCTCGCTTTGAAATCCTTGAGTTTGTTACTGAAAAATTCGTAAATGTTTTACAAAGTATAAAATCGATAATAAAACAAATTCCAAATTTCAAATTTGGTTTTCCGGATGCCCACATTCGCAGCAGGATTACTTCAAAATTGGATGGCTCTATGTACCGCTGTTTGATCACAATGCGAGATACATACATACATTTATGTGAATTCTTCATTATTTAATTTCTTCAAATATAACACAGGGCGATAATATTTAGTGGCGACAGTTTGAAAAGTGAAACGATAGTTCCTCAGGAACAAAGCCTTTTTGGACTTAAAAAAAAAAAAAAAAAAAAAAAAAAAAATCGCATAAAAGACCGCGCAAAAAGAGGTAAAATGTAAATGACTTAATACTTTTTTGCATTATTTCTATATAATGCAATAAAGCGATGAAATTATAGAAAACCTATAACAATTTCACAGAAGTCACATTTATACGTATATCAACTTAAGCAGCCTCCTTTATCACTGCCTAATTTAAATGCGACCTTTCATGGTAATGTTTCCCCACCACTGGAATTAACGCATCCCTCCTTCCACGTGCTCGTCTCGTCTTTCTGGCGCAACTATTAGCACATCGGTCTGGCACGAAAGCCTTCTCTCATTCAAATCTGGGTTAAGGCACAGTTTAGCTTTAACTACAGCTTGTTCGTTCTACTCTTGAATTTACATATTCATTAAAAAATCAATTTATATTGTGAGTTTCTAGCAAATATCAATCATTGTGACACATGTTCACAGCAAATTCACTCTGAGATCCACTTACGGAATTTAAAGAAGGTGTCGCACACTTTCTGAAGTTCAGAGCCCTTTTTTTCAAATTACAATAATGTTATGATGTGTGCTTGACATCACGTACATATTTTACCAAGAAAATAAATTTTCTCCGCTAACATGTAATTAATTGATAATGTTTAGTAAGGTTTCCTAAAACACGGCGTTTTACATTCAAGCAAGATTTAAACTATGTAAATCTGAGCGCAATGTATTACTGAAATATAAGAACCTATCATTAGAAACCTATCAGTACACAGGACATAACCACTTACTTTTTTTTTAAATGTTAAAAGTGATAATTTTTTTAGGGGGCTAAATCTTAAGAGGCGTACGTTACACAGAGCTGGGGGAAAAAAAAAAGAATCTACATCATTCGAAACCTATCAGTACACAGGACATAGACACTTATTTTTTTTTAAAAAAAGTTAAAGCGATAATTATTTTAGGGAGGGCTAAATCTTAAGAGGCATACGTTACACATAGCGGGGGGG